AGGTACCCCATTCAGTACCATCTTCAATTCACTTTTCGTTTCATGATTGAGATTTTTATTGATTTCAAGCATTTGGAAGACTATAAATTTCTAAATTCTACTACATTAACAGCAATCAATAATACAAGATATGATATTCATTTATTTAAATGCGCAATTATTGATACAAAAGGGGCACAAATCATTGAACCTGAGTATGGGATGGAGCATTGTTCGGATGACCAAACCGAACCAGTTGGTTTTCTTTGGCAGCCACTCTCTAATATTTCACCCAAAGGTCTAATCCAAAACGTATTGGAACAACGTTAAGAACTACAGTCTCATAGTATCCGGTAACCAATAATAGATTCATACTTCATTTCTGTCTTCACGATCCTGGAACCTATGTGCAGTAGTAGTTTAAAATGACGATTTACCAACTCTCCTAGGTGTATACCCAGAACCCATAAAACCGGTTAAAGTCCTGTCCGCAAAATAGCTTTTCTTTCGCTCAATTCGGTTTCCTGAAGAGCACCCTCGGCACAAGAAGGCAATGAATAAGACTTCTCTGATAATAGTTGTATGAGTGACCATAAGAGAGCTTTTGGAGAGAGAGGATACATTCTCCCCATACTCATCCATACCACGTCGTTTGGAAGCCAACATAATAGTTCAGTCAATCTTTGTAAATGCTTAGTACTAAAGCATAAAAGTCACCTCATTAGTGGCTCAATACAAAATATTGTGACTGAAGTGGTTTTGGCGTATAGGGAGTAGAAATGTTGCCGCAAAAAGAATTGGACGACTGCTGTGAAAAAAAACCTTGAAATTATGACACTGGACGCCAACTTAATGGTTTTAGCGACCAGGTGTTAGTTTTGAGATTTGAAGGTCTTAGATTTAATCTTCGGCCATGTCTTAGGTTTCTCTACTAAGATGCAACAGCTATCTACTACTTCCTAGTGTTCAACAGTACCTTAATTGTGATCAATCACAGAAAAATACAGTCTAAATATAAAATGAGATGATAGTAAACCTACCGATAAGCATCTGGATTATCTTTAGGTAAACCAATATATCGTTCTGTATACGCAGTATCATATAACTTCCAATCGACCACTGCAGAAATTGCTATTGCAGCTTTATATACATCATGATATCGCATTGCAGCCATAAGTGACATATAACCACCTAATGAACAAAACAAAGTGGAGTTTATCATCATCATCAGCAGCACCAGCATCATCGTCATTATCTCCATTAAAAAAATATAATACAACTGGAAGAGATTCATAGTGTCACTGAAGAAGAATGAATTTTATTGGAGAATTTCGAAAATTGTTTAGTCGATGTTCAAATAAAACAACTCACTACTATATCGACGGCCAAAGTAGCGAAAGCGGCTATACAGAATCCATTTGAATGCAAAGGTTAAGGTTTGTGAACAAGGAGATTCCGACAACTTTAGTAACATGCAAAAAACTAAGTTGTAAACTATGCTGTTAAAGTTAATGGAATATGGTAGATTAGCTTAAAAACTTTATTCCAAGTGAGTGACGATAGAACATTTTATCACTGTAACTTTTCCTTAATTTATAACCAGGTAAGAATGTTTCCATAGAATACTGAATTTTAAAAAAAATCAGTGAACTAGTAGGAGTAACGATAACAGATAAAGTAAAATATTAACAGTCGGAATTCATTCAATTGTCCTCACTAGTGAACTGGCTTTTTAAGAGGATTCAACGAGTTCTAGTAAGAAGCCGAGACTAGGGGGAGATCAAACCGTTCATGAACTGATTGAAGTTAGATGTTAACACCATTGGATATCGACTAATTGGTCAAAAGGTTACGCGTTCACACTCAAGATCGATGGCCTTTGATTTGACTCCCACTCGTGGGGTCATGATTGCATCCAGTTTGATAAGCCCCATAGTAGGACTGCTTCCTGGTTTTCAATGGTGGTTTAATATTGATCACTTCAGCACTTCAGTGAAATTTTGTACACGTCTCCTTAATGCTTAGCAACTATTCTCTAATTAGATTAGCATTTTTAAACAAGTATAATAAATGAATTTAGAATATGGTTGGAAGTCGATCACATAACATATATTTCATCCCATCTGGGACTCCTCAGTTGTTTGTCACATTAGGACTCAAACCAAGCGTCTTTCGCCTTGAACGCTCAATGTTGTTATCCATCCACTGAGTTCATTGGCTTCAGTCACATAGCCAATAAAACGTGTGATAAATCCCTACACAGTAGTACTCCGCTTATGATGAAAATACACCAATGGAGTAGTCTGATGAATTAGTATACCAAAATATTCAACAATAGTAAATTACAAACTATTATTTACAATAAATAGTGTTTACATATGAAAAACATAGTTGTATATTTGTAAAATAACCTACTTACCAAAAGAATAACCCATGATAGCAACACGTGAAAGATCAATAAGTCCAGTGTTTTTAGCAACATATTTTAAAAAGGCTACATGATCATCAAGTTCTACCTGACCCTAAAATTATTGAAGATAAACAGAGTTACGATATCTCAAGGGTAGTGGGAAAAGAAAAGAAAATATCAAAACTCCACAGACTGAACGCATGCAAACTACCGCCTATCTTTAAAAAGCGATGTTAACTAGTGTAGGAATATTTTGGAAAAGAAAGCTAAGGAAAGACTCTGTCAAAATGTGGCAACAGCACACAGATGGGTTAACAATTGGTTGGAGGAAGGAGGAGGTAGAGTTCTAGATTTCTATTTGGTTGGATCCCATGCGATAACTATAATCAATAGTTAGAAAAACTGAGGGATGCAGCAACATTCATTATTTGAGCATACTCGAAATCACGAGTCGTAGGATTCTGTTCTAAATACCTTTTTCATTTCGTCTTCTGAAACGATGTTGTCCCTTTCTTAATTATCATTGTTAGTTCACTTTATCTCGTTATACTAATGTAGTGTGGGAACTTGAGCGAACGCATATTTATGCCAATCAAGTGTAGAAAGGATTCGATTGTGACCGAATTGATCTCGTGTGCTGTTACGAGTATGCGGGCGGATGTGACTTCCCGGCTGCCCACACCGTAGAAAGGAACTTCTTGAGGAACCTGAAACGCAAACAGGATAAGCGTTGGTCAGAGTGACCTAGCAGCGTGACCACAGAGCCCAACGGACAACTGCTTCAGGCCGGTCACACACGGCCTTTCATGGCACGTTTTTGAAGTGTTAGCTTAGCTCTTTAAAATGCTTTACCACCATAGACGGAAACCAGTGGAATAAGATAAGGTGTGATATTTTTAAGGTCGACCTTTTCTAACCCCCTTCCTTCTGTTCTGAGAAGACAGAATCGCTGCACATGCTGGTTGTCTGAGGGAAACACCTTACTGTTGTTAAATCCCCCTTCATTCAGCAGTACGACTTCGCCCGCAGACCTTAAGTTGCTGCTGTTAGTCTTACCGTTCTCCAATCGACCCACCTGTCATGATAGAACCTACAGGAACACATATTCCAGCCAACGTACCTCGGTTGGGTTATCACGATAGGCATGGCCGACCTCCACGTCAACGTAGCAGCTACAGTCGAAGAATAACATTACAATGGATAATATTTGCCATGTGACAACAGCTTAGTAGCATGATCACAAAGGTGCAACAAGTTATGAATCATTACACATGTAGTTTTCTTTTTTGGAAATAAAACTCAATGTACTAGCTTTATACTACAAAAAACTTTACAGTTAAAGACGTAAATTCGTGAAATTCTTTAAGGTGTACTATTCTAGGGTTGATTGTTTCTAATCTCTTGCTTTGATTCAAGAAGGTGACATTGTTGTAGATACAAAGTATTTGAAAGAAACGCTTTACGGTCATCACACCTCTGTACAGTAAGTGAACAGTACGATTTCGCTCTGACATCTTAAGTTTGCGGCTTTTATTTTTACTGTCTTCTAACCAACTTTCACGACAAGAAAGGACTTAAAAGAGCCAGATAATATAACTCAATTGTGTTATCATGCTAGGCAAGTTGGACCAACAAATCAAAGCAACAGTTATTATCAGTTCAAATATTATTTGGTTTATTTAATAAATATATATGATTTATAAGTGAGATTGCGTTTGACAAGTGAATAAGAAAAGTACTGGAAGTGGAAAGGACACACCACCAGGTAAATCGTCACTTTGAATCCCCCAGGCTAGGGGAAAAGAGGTAGACCAAAGGACACATTACGTCGAGAATCGGAAGCAGATATGAAAAGAATGGAAAGAAACTGGGTAGAACTGGAAAGGAAGGCCCAGGCCAGAGTAGGTTAGAGGATGCTGGTTGGAGGCCTATGCTCCTTGAGGAGTAAAAGGCGTAAGTAAGCAAGTAAGTAATATATGCAACTTCTTCTGAAGCCCTTGTAAGGAGGGATGTATATGGGGTAATCAATCATATCCTGTAAAAAAACAACCTTGGTACAAAAAGCCAGCCCGATCATTATCTAATTACTATAAATGATTTTGAAACTATTTTATCCATTCAGGCAATGATCAAAAATAAAGGTTGACATTTATTGATTCACTTACTAATCGATTTTTAATATGACCATCAAAATTAATGCCACGATTAGATGAACCACGACAATCGCATAAAAAGACAGCATAACCAAAATGACAAAATAATTGCGCTTGAGCAAATCTGTATGAATTAGTATACGATAAATATGAAGGCGTTTTCATCAAACAAAACACACAAATAAGGTATATAACGTCGACATTGTAAGGCAAACAAGAAAAGGATACTCTAGCTGAATATAGATTAGCTTGAAAGAAATAATGACTCAATATCAGTTAGGCGGAAAATAGTTGGGTTTGGCTGAATATTTGCATTTTTATTATAGGGTTGTGAAGATTGTTGAGTTTCATTGAAATAATGAATCGACCAATGTTAAACCATCAGAAAGAAGGTTGGAAGCACTGCTACTGATTTCAGTGAAACCGAACAATCTTCACAACCCTATAATGAAAATTATCATGTACTCACTAGTGACTAGCTAGATTAGGAAATTTCTCGAGGATCTGACGAGACGTTGTGACCAATGGAGTTAAACCCTGTCGGGTAAGAAGCAGTGCCTACCGGAGACAATAGATGAGGATTCACAAGACCATGGACTAGTTGAAGGTAGACATTAACACCCTTGGATGCCGGCTCAGCGGTATGGAGGTTAAGCGTTCTCGCACGAGACTGAAGGCCCTGTGTTCGGTTCCAGCAGATTCGTGGATCCGCACTGATGATGAGTTCCACACGAGGACGAAACGGCCATTTAATACTTCCGTGTTTCTATTTATGGTCTAGCATTGATCGATTCATGATTCCAATGAATATTGATTAGCCTACTATCAAAGAAGTTTTATTCACTGCCTTTTCGTGTCGAGGGTGTCCTTCAGAAAGCCGAATTGAGAGGGGAAAAAACGAAATTTCTGGGCAAGACTTTAACCGATTTCATGGGTACCTAGTGTACACTTAGGAGAGTCGAAAAACCTTTATTTCAAACTACTGGCAAACATTTATTCCAGGATCCAGAGGTCAAGTGTTTCGGTACGAAACTGAGGATCCTACGTTCAACTGTTAGTCGCAGAGTCGTGGATGTGCACTGTTAAATAATCCCATACTAAGAAAAAATGACCGTCCTCCACTTTTAAACTCCCAATTGTTGTCTAACTTAAACTAGTTTATGATTTCAATGAAATTCAACAATCTTGACATTCTACCACTGACATTTAGCATCATTTACGGAAACTGAATAATTTAATGATCACCTAAGCACTGCTTCATTTTATCTAATGCATACTTCTTTTTGTTGAACCAGTTTTTTTGTATTAGAATTTTATCAAAAGAACTGACATGGCCCAAAATCGTTTGCAATGACGCAGATGCATCCATTTATTGTCTTCCCTCATGAGCTCAGGACCTTTTCGTTCTCTTTTTAAATTTATTTCACTGGATTACATATCTTCCATACGTAATCTTTCCGATTACTACTAGAACTTCTACTACTACCTTTACTACCATAGGGTCTGAATTGACAACTCGATCTCTGTGTGTTAATGTGGTATGACAACTTGAACTGATGTACTTACGTACGTACGTACCAAGTTCTACAATGTAGCTGACTGACTAACAACAACACGATGAAGATGAAAACATAGAAAAAATGAACATATTACTTACACAGATCTTGAATAATTACCACGAACAAGTTGAACACCTGGACCACCATAAACAAAATGTAGTGTTGGATAACCAACATTAGAGCTATTGATAGATGATGAACCAGATGATAGTCGAGTATGATTAGAATTTGGTAAAAATAATTGTCCATATAATATTGATTGTGAATTAGTAAATTCAATATAATTTGGTGTGTTGGTAGCAGCACTATTACTAGTACTACTACTACTACCACAACTACTATTCATATAATCATTCATACATTGACTACTATCAGTGTTGTGTAATGTGACCACTTGATCTAAATTATGAAATATATCACATCGTAGAACTAATGGTGGATTAGTTGGATAAAATCCATTGAATGCATTATAATGCCATACTGTTATCGATTGTTATTATTATTATTATTATTGACATAAACAAAACAAAGAGAAGCAGAAAAGAGAAAAAAAACACCACGATAAATTTATCATAAACATTATGAAATGTGTGGTAGAGAAAATGTATAGCTCATATGAATGGTTATGAACAATATCATCAGTATGAACTTCAGGCAAAGGTTTGGTGTTGATTATGTTGTTCAGAAGAACAACGAAACACTCTCAAGGACAAACCATTCTCAACTTAGAGAATAAAACTCTACTAAAATTGTATATCTATACACAAAGTATAACTTTATCATCAAGTACAGTTTGCTTGATTCTGTATAGTTAGGTTTCATTATGATATGAAGAGAATGAATTAGTGGAGTGATAAGTTTAATAATTAAGGTATTTGACTTTTAATCCCTAGGTCACAGCTTCACTTATCACTACACTCTACTGAGGTTGGGCAATCGGATAAATCGTCAGGCAAAGTATGGCTCAAGGACAAATATGAATTTGTACTTGATGATAATAAAATCGAGTTGTTTTGACTGAAATTATAACTTCTGTGGGTCAGTTGAAAAACGAGAAAACTGTAGTCGATAAACTAAAATTTTGACAATAAAATTACACTGACTGCTGTCTAGAAAAGTACCATCAATAAGGCGCTTGCCTTAAACAACCAGTATCTGCAGTAATATTGCTTCCTCACAACCGTCAACTCTAATAATAACACATCTCACTTTACCTCACAGATTCCCATCTCTGGTAATAAGGCCTTCGGAAGTACGTAGCTAACACATCACAAAATATTCACAAAACACTGAATGTGACTGAGGTATCGTATTTGTCGCTTGAGCTCCGCATTCACGATCTCAGGTCGTTAGGACGCTGCTAATTTTTTTTTAATGCCTAGGCAACCCAAGAAAAAATATCCTTCCAGGATCTTGGCAACCAAGAAGTTACAGATTGCTTACAAATATAACTCCATTCAATTGATCACAAATTAAAACTTTATAAGAATTTTAATTTCATTGGATAAGCAATTTTAAGATATTCAAGCGATAATAAATACAAAATGAATTAATCAAACGTTTTGCAAACTTTAAAGATTGAACAGTTGGAAAAGTCGAAATAATTAGTGATAGATGATTGACCAGTTTATCTGAAATCTGGGTCAGATTATTGTTATGATGGGCGATGCCAAAGATCTGAATGCATCACGTGCTAACCCCTAAAGCTGCTTACTTGAGTAAGAAGGAAAGAGTCAAAGAGAAAGTCTATTCTCTGGCCGAATCATATACATAAGTACCCATTGATATATATATATATATATCAATATATATATATATATAATAAATTCACTTTCCGATTGATGATATGCATTCATCCCCTAGAACATTTCGGTTGGCATTAAACTGATCTTCTCACTTGGTCACTTCTGATTGGCTTACTTTACCAATTATTGAATCAAGTAAGCTGTAAAAAAGTGTGTTCTTCATTATTCCATATAACTAGAGAAAATCGAAAAACCTTAAGTGTAAAATTCGGCGAAATCAGTCTTGTAATTGTGTTCACTATGGTTTAAATGTATGGCACAAATGCATTACATTTTTCAGATCAGTTACGTGTTCTCGCTGTTCTATCGAAATTGACCTAAAAATGTATGTATTTACAACTGATTGATCATTGAGTAGTATTAATATTATATTTAACAAATCCGTTTTAGCATTTATCCAACTGCTAAATAGCACGAAACTTAAATTAAGCCGAATGTTTTTTTGGCCGACTAATATAACATTTCAAAATAGTAAACGTAATATGGAGTCATTTAGACGACAGATCATAATGCCAATTGATCGACACAATTTGAGTAGTGCTGAGTAAGCAATGCTAATGTTACGATAAGGGTATCAGGTAAGGATGACAGATCAGTAGATAAAGTACTGAAACTTCATCAATTGAGGTGGTTGGAGCATGTGTTACGTATGCCCAACCACCGAATGCCTCGGCGAGCGATGATGTCTGGTGTAGGGAAACGCTAGAAGAACGTTAATGGCAGCCAAGCCAAAATATGGCACAAACCCATGAAGTCACTGACTACTGGATTGAGACATTCTGGTAGGTGTAAACTACCTGGTTGGGGTCCACAAGATGATAGTAACCGATAGTTTCAGACCTTGAATGACATGTCTCAAAATTGTTTGCAGTGGCGCACGTGCATCCACTCTTTGTCTTCTTTCAAATTCTAATTTTCTGAATTCCTCATAAATTTTTTTCTCTCTCTTTTTAAACTAATATATCTATATATACTACTACTCGAATGACATTTTCAGTCACTAATCTTTCTGATTACCGCTAATGATTCTACTACTTATACTACAATGAGATTTGATCTGGCAATTCGATCTCTGGGTGCTAATATAATATAGCAACATGAACTGATGTACATACATACCACGTTCTACGTGGTAGCTGACTGAATGAGTGAAAAAAGTTGAATTCATAAACATCAAATTGATCAACTGTTAAGTGAACTTATCAATCAGTACAATACATATCATATTCTTTTTTGCTAAAAAATTTAGAAAAACAACTACGCAGAAATTCTAACAAATCAATATTTTTTTAAAAAAAAAAGGAACTTCTTACCATGTTTACGAAGCCATCCCACATGTTTTAGAATTGGTTTACAATGTTTATGACCGGTGAAAGTGGATGTAGCAGGCGTATTCTTGATATCATCATCATCATTTTCATTGCTGTCAATAATACAAACTTGACAAATTTGAATACCAACTAATTTATCTAAACTACTTGATTCTAAAATCATTATACCTGATTGTACATTGAATGAATTCAATTCATATGATAATGGATATGATTGTTTCAATAAACATGAATCATGAAATAATGGATCTAGGATATTTTCAATATTATTATTAGTATTCATTGTTAATGGTGATGATGATGATGATAATGAATTGTGTACATTTTGAATAGATTGCATTACCATGGTATCACTATGTTTGCTGTTATTGTTGTTGTTGTTGTTGGTGGTGGTGGTGGTGGTGATGTGTAATGTTAAACAATGCAATTGATCTCGATCAGTTCGTCGATCAACATAACTGACAGAATATCTAGAAAAAAAACAAAACATTTAGTATAAGAATAAGTGTATTGTTATAAGGTAGAGAGAGAGAGAAAGAAAAAAAATTGAATTATGGGATGTTTTCCATACATTCACTATTATAAACATTTAACCATTTAGAAAAGTAGACAGATTATTACCGTTAGTAGTAAATACAATTAAAGAACAATGTTTAATATAAACTATTTGAGACTTGTCAGTTGAATAAACATGTATCTAAGAGTTCAGTGTTCACATTGGAACTTGAAAGTCAGTACTTTACATTTTAACCTTATTCAACAGTATGATAATTCAGTCGGTCAGTTAACAACAACATAGAACTTCGTACCTACGTACACCAGTTCAAGTTGCCATACCACATTAGCACAGAGATGCAGTTGTCATTTGTAAAACCATAGTAGTAGAAGTAGTAAAAGTATTAGCAGTAAACGGAAATATTAGGGTTCCAAGATATTATTCAAGAAGTAGAATCTAGTGAAATAAACTTGAAAACAAAAAGATAAAATGATGAGGAATACAGAAGGTTAGGATTTGACAGAACACAAAGAATGAATGCAACTGCATCATTGCAAACGCCTTTGAGCCATGTCATTCAGGATCTCTAACCATCGATTATTAACATCTCGCGGATCCCAACCATATATACGACACCTACCAACATGATTCAGCACCCGTTTCCTAACTATAGCATTGCTTACTCGGTTGTCCCATGATACATGAGCAATGCTTCGGAGACTACTGTGATCGAAAACCAGCAACCTACGAATATCTTCTACATTGACTGACTGTGTTTCGCAGCCAAAAAGTAGGACGGAGCGAACTGCGGATATCCCGCATACGCCATAAGTGACGAAGGTTGTTAAAGCCCATCGAGCTTTCTATATCCGTGTTGAGATTTCGTCAAACACCAGGCCATTGCCACTGATTAGATTCGCGAGATAAGCGAAGCGGTCAACACGCTCAACTGTTTCACTCCTTATCACTAGTTTAGATGCTGATGCAACCCAACATCCCTGAAGCAACATTCTGCATTTCGACGGGGAGAATCGCATTCCGAACATGTTTAGGGTAGTCAGAAGACTCTGAATTTCGTCATCGTCTTCACCAAGTAGAACTATGTCATCTCAACAGACTTTATCCATTGTATTATTGAAAGATTCTATTTTAATAAGTTGAACATAACTAATAATAATAATAATAAAATACTATTATTGTGACTAATAAACAGATTAATTCAACAACAACAACAAAAACATTTACTTACACATGTTTCAGAAGTGGATGTTCTTTAAATGCTTCAAAATACACAAATTTATTATCTTCATCTAACCAAATCTATGAATAAAAAAAAACAATAAATGATCAATTTTAAAATGGAAATTTGTTTAAATGTACTACATTTGTGTTTTTTTAAATGACAAAAATGTTCGTTGGGAGGGGGGAGCGAGGGATTGGTTGTGAGTTGAATGGATACTTTCATTTCAGTGTAGAAGATGTTTAATACTGATGAGACAAGAACTCAGTATTTGTTTGTTTTCGATTCGAATGCTAATGAGTTATCTATGGCAATAATAATTCAAGATAACCACTAACTTGTTCAGCAGATATAATGTTTATATCATAAATAGTATTAAGTCTTATAATTATGCTACTCTTAGTATTCAAGATTGAATTTCTACCGATTAAATGTTGACATACAAGTATGCATCGTGTGAAAATTGTCTAAACATTTTCATCATCATGAACTTGCTATGCTTCAAATGTACCACTACAACTTAGTATTAACGAAGGAACGTATAACCAGAGACATAATAACAGAATAAGCTAAGCTAATTCTCAGTGCTTCAACCCAGCCAACTAGATGAATAAGTTCACAGTTAGTTGGAAGAATACATAATGCACAAACTAACAACAAGCACTCAATTCAAGCGTAACATATACAATACAAAACAGATTATTTGAAAGAGCTACAAAATAGCATGCTAACAGAGGAAACCAACCAATAACGGTTTATAGTCGTTTCAGGTAGGAAATATAAACACTGAAAGCAATACAGGAATTGTGTTCATTGAAGATTAAATCCACCTGGAGCCCTTCTATGGTTACTGCCAGTCCAAAACCCGGATAAAGGGGAAGGGTTGGGAATGGAGGTTAGCGACCCCATCCCGTAGAAATATGTTGGAGACGTTAGATCACCAGAACTCACTTGTAAAAGGTCCTAATTTTGTAATTAATTTCTGAAATTTCTAAATTTTCAGGTTTTCGCGCCAAAGATGCCTATTTGACCTTCAGCTTACATTTCCCACTCGGGAAATCCTTGACTGTCATTGGATGATGGATTATTTTAGTACGCTATTTTGTAGCTCTCACAAAGCGCGTTTTATCATTGTATAAATAAGCTTGAGTTGTATGCTTGTGGTCCTCGTACTTTATGGTTGCTTGTGAAATACATTCTCTACGTATTATCAAGGCTTCTTCCTCTAGTTAGTGGGCCCTGGGACGATTGGATTAGAGTAGCCTATCGTGCCGCTGAATCACTAATCTTCATTCCGTTTACCGAGTAAGGTGAACTCGTAAGAACGCTAACCAGAAAAATAATTCGCTAGTTAGCCGCCTATGCTCCATCAGGAGTAAGAGGAATGAGTAAGTAAGTAGGTTCATTCAAGATTGTGCTTCACAATACAATCTTGAATTTCATTTTTTCTTAAATACATATTTTTCAATTCTATCTCCTCTAATACATTCGCAAGATTTAGTCTTTCTATTTTCTTTATTATCTTATTACTTTTTATGTTAGTCAAATACGATAATCTCAACTAAGTACATTTCCGTCAATTTCTACGTTTGAATAATTGTTTATACAAATAACTAAAATTATGCGAAAAATGAAAAATGAACTTTAGTCTACATCAGCACAAATTGTAAAAGTATTGTAGTATGTACTAACATGTTGATTCAACATGGCTTGTTCCAACCTTTAGATAAATGAACTAGACTTTTCTTCACAAGTTACTATTCGCACATCTTGAGACCTTTTCAATTATTCGCTTTAAATCTTATTTAGTTTTACTTGAGTACGTATGTTATGGATTGCTTGCTTTTCTTATCACATGTCTAGCCTGCTATTTTTGTCTGACTATAAATACCTACACATTCTTCATCATATGGATTTGGCCAACTAGTGTTCTCCATTTCACTTCGCTTTGCATTCTATTATCCGTCTGCTTAAATGAATGTATGAAGTAATCTGTATCAGGCTTTTAATTACCGCCACCCCACAAACGGACTTCGCCTAAACATGATATATACGGAAATAGAAAGGAAGATTTATTTCACAGTAGACTCAATCGATTTGTCAAATCGGAGTCAGAAGCCGTGTCACATAAGTGAATTGGCAATCGAATGATTTGAATTGAATTCGACCATTGATTATGCAATAATGATAAAAAATATTATTTTGTTGCAAACTAATCTGAATTCATTTTATTTCACTAAATTCTCATCATCATATATGAGTTTTATTAAAAAAACTTCACAATATCATGATACACACATCATCTATTTTTAAACACTTTCATTTTTATAAATATGTCACTATGAATAATTCTAATTTTAAAATATTTTATTTGATTATAATCAGTTGTGCAGAACTGGAATGGAATTTAAAAGAAAAAAAACAATTCTACACCAATTTTTTTATGACTGTTCTCTTCAAAAAATAATCAGCAAAACTTACAGTATGAAAATTATAATGCATTCAATTCTTAAATAGTTGAGAAAAAAATGAGTACGCAAAATATACGATTCAGTGATTACAGAGTAGTAGTAGTAGTAGTGTGGTGTGAGCTACTTATAAGTAGTATATGACGTGAGTGTAAACGTAATGTCCGGCAGTATAATATGGGGGAAGATCAAGAAAGGAAGAGTGGGAACACAATGGAATTTGTATGAAACGCATGAATAGTGACAACGGATTGATGTTTGGCAACAGGAACAGTCCAGTTCGATAGGATGAACTGATAGTTTGCAAATGAACAATTTACGATATGGTTTTCCAATTTTACTGAGAATATATATATATATATATATACTAGGGTTAGTGATTTAGGCCTCATACCCTAGAATGAAAATCATTTCTTGTGTCAATCACATTCACTTATCATTTGGCAATTTCTGACTAACCAACTATATCAGCTTTCTCTCATGAACAAAGGTGTTAGGATGAATGCATACGTAATCTAAATGATTCAACATTGTGTGCACGGGGTTGAGATGACAAATAATCAGTATGAGACACAGCTTTACTTAGCTTTTCTGTTAGTTAATACTTACCAGTGAAGTGTACCTACACCTACAAGCATGAAGTAATGTGTGAGAAACATTCAATACATTGATCGATTCATGATTACAATGAAACCCTATAATAACAATTATCATGCACTCACTAGTGACTAGCTTTGTGATGGAATTCTCGGAGATCAAGTGAGAAGTCATGATCAGTGGAGTTCAACCATATCAGGTGTGGGACAGTTACCGAATGAAGACAATGTATGATGGTCATGTAATAACGTGGATTGATTCAACTAAGACATTAACACTGATGGATACGGGCGCGTCCTAGGTTTGTTTCCCAGTTGTAGGGTCGTGGATACGCATTGTTGAAGAGTCTTATACTAGAGCAAAACGGTAGGTTGGTGCTTTCAAGTTTCTTTCTAATGCTAGTCTAACATTGGATTGATTCACGATTTCAATGAAACTCAACAACCATTCACAACCCTAGAATGACATAAATGCAATTATTGAACAAAATATTTTTTTTTTAAAAAAAAAATTCAAAATACCTGATTTCCAGTAACTTCCCAATCACCATTAGTTAACTGATCAATAATGACTTGTTTCGCTTTGATAATTATTGCAGTCCGGTCATGTACAACTGTATTTTCATGATTATTATGATTTTGAATTGAATTTATTAAATTAGTTTTAGGCCATGAACAGTGTATAAGATATAAATGTGTAAAACCAGTACGATGTGAAGCCCATATAAATGTACAACAATTGTCATTGATACAACATGATAGATTGTTAGGGTCATTTGTTGAATGCCATGGATATTTTAAAAAAGTTAAAAAGTCATGTACCTAAATAAAAATAAATAATTTTTAGAAAAATTGAAAAACATTTATTACTACCATAGTTACTTAAAAAGATGTGAAAAAATTTTTACAATATCAAAAAGTATCGATTATAAATGAAGTGGTCTCATGTAGCGTTGTTCCAGGTACGAGAGCAATTGTGCTCGCTCACTTGTTTGTAAAGTCAAAAGATTTTCCCTCTTCGGAGGTCGGTTGGAAAGGAAAATAATGGATGAGTGGCGACTGGAGATTATAAGAAACCGCTGCCGAAACACAATCACACAATGTCTTTTTATAGCATATTTTTGATGTGCTATTCCGATACTTCCAAAAGACTTATTAACGAAGATGGAAATCTGTGGGGGGTAAAGTGAAGTGTATGATTATTAGAATTGACGTTTTCTAATATCTTGCATACCTATCTGGTATGGTTAACACCTAAGGAAGTGATTTTTTCAGTCAAAATAACTCGATTGTCTAGTCATGATAGGCAAGCCCGATCATCATATCAAGTAGCAGCTACAGTCGGATGATAATGTCTCTCGGATATTTCCCCAGAAAGTATTGACAAACATTACAATACAATCTCAGTGAAAAACTATGTCGTATGTATGCGTGGTGAACAGCTACATACAGTTAAACGAATTAGAAATAACCTGTCAAATAGCTGTCTTTCGGATGCATATTAATCGAACTGAAAAATATAAAAATTTGATCGATAATAAGAACAAGACAAGTATTGATTCATATGTACATATATCTTATCTCTACAAGACATGAGTCACTACTTACATTCAGTGATTGATAACGTGTTTGATTGTGACACTACAGGATTAAATATAAACAGAAGAATCAGTGTTTTCAAGTTGCTAAGTGTTTGGCATATTCCCGATTGCCTCTAACCATTTAATATTACTAAATGATCATGAAATCAAATGTCATTTTCAAACTCAAATGAAATCTATAACAAAAATGTTACAAGAAAATAATGTCGAGAGTCAGTCAGTCAGTCAGCTATAACGTAGAACTTGGTACATACCTAAGACAATCCAAGTTGCCTTATCACATTAGCTCAGAGAGATGGAATCGTCAATTCAAATCCCATAGTAATAGAGGTATCCGAAAAGTATATCTCAGTGAAATATATTTAAAAAGAAATAAAGAAAGGTCATGAGCAATTCAGAAAATTAGAATTTGGAATAAGACAAAGATGTATCTGCACCATTGCATAGGATTTGGAGCCATGTCATTCAAAGCCTCTAACCATTAGTTACGATTGTCTCACGAACCCCAATCAGGTAGTTTACACCTATTAACATGGCTGAGTCTAGTTGTCAATGACCTTATGGATTTGTGCCATGTTTTGGTTTGGCCATCTTTAGCGTTATTCTAGCCTAGTTCTACATCAAACAACATCGCTCGTCGGTGTAGTCGGTGGCTAGGCATAAGTAAGCAATGTCGAGACTCAATTAGTTTACATGTTTTTAAATGGA